TTGGCATTTTTCTAGAGACGGTTGCTGGACACTTATACGAGGTACAGCACTTTCGGTAGGGAACTCCTAACTATGCATTGTGCTGTACGGCATTTTCAACAATCTATCGAAGGCTGGGAATTCACCCTTTTACCGATCATAAAGCTCTTGCTTTTAAATAGGCTCATCTTCAGACACGTACTCAGTTCGAGAGTTTTAACAACTGGACTACATTTCTCAGTTTACTTCAAATATAAAACACATTTCTGGAGCAAACCATATAATTGCAGACGCCTTCTCTCGCATAACTGGGAACAGGTAAGGAAACCTTACTTTGTGACACATCTACAGGTAGGGATCGTCCAATAGTACCAAAATATCATCGACGCAACATCTTCAATACGTTACACAAACTTTCTCATCCAGGTGTTCGTGCAACCGTCAAGCTCATAGCAGAACGATTTTGCTGGCCTGGTATGAATAAAGATGTGAGGGAGTGGGGACGCTTCTGTGTAAGTTGCCAGAAATCTAAAGTCGATAGGCACAACAAATGTCTCTTAGGGCTGTTCAAAACTCCCGATGCTCGTTCCGATCACGTTCATCTGGACTTGGTAAGACTATTAACAGTTACAAATGAATACTCTTAACATAACTTGTGTAGATCTTTCTACACGAGGGCAAGGATCGGTATCCTTCAGAAACATTACTACTGAAGCACTATCCCGCACCTTCGTCGAACGATGGGTAGCAAGTTTCGGGTATCCTTCAAACATCACTACAGACTGCGGATGCCAGTGCGAATCTGCACTTTTCCGTTATTTGACCATGCTATTGTGAATCACTCGCTTCCGAACGACCGCCTACCACCCACAAGCAAACGAGTTGGTAGAACGCTTTCAGTGACAACTAAAAGTTTCACCATCAGCTGCAAACACTTCACAGTGGACCGATGCTCTTCCACTCATCTTACTAGGTATTCGTAATGCAGCGAAAGCTGACATGGGATACACTGCAGCTCAACTCCTTTAGAAGGAAATCCCATCCACGTCGACTTTCCTTCGGTACTATCGAACGACACGGCACCTGCACGTATAATACGTCATATGACAGCTAACACCCACGTTGATACTTTGGTAGTATCTGAAAATAAACTTAAAACAACGCATTCTGGAAGAAGAGTAAGATTTCGAGAACATTTAAAAGACTATTGCACGTAAGACACCAGATAACATTTTTTACCTCGATTTTCCTTTGTATTACATATAATAAAAAAATTTAATATGCTTATACTTATATGTATTCCAAAAAAAAGGATTATTTTCTCAATATGTTTTTCTCTCTAAAAGAACAACCAAAAAAATTTCAAAACATTGATTTTACGCTACCGCAGGTGTATGAGACTATTTACCTCTCTTCGCCCGCTTTGTGTCTTTATTCGCATATGAGTGTATTTCGACATGTACTTGCATTTTCTTCTTCTTTTCCAGGACGGATGGAAAAGACGATAAGATGAACCATGAAGTTTACGAGGAACCAAAATTTGGATTATTATTTGTTTATTAGTATATTAGTATATTGTACTTCATGGCCCTTTATAATAACAAAAAATATGACCAGAGGCTGCTAAACATAGCAAGCTATCAGAAGAGTGTTTACCAAAAACAAACTTGTTGGGTTGAAACTTCTGGCTGGCCACGTCGTAGGGTCATCACTACCCCACTAGGGGGAGTGATCTATAACGGTAAATAAATCCCCAAAATCAATATCTCTGTGAGTTCTCGGCATTGGATGCTGACCACATTAGTTTTAATTCACTCACCCAGCGGAAGGCGCTCAGCCATGCATCCGTACCAGATCACGTTACAGAACGACGTGAAAAGCATTTCCTATGATCATTAGGCAGATTAGATCAGTCACTTCTCGATATGTTGATAATCTGTCAAATATATCTTCGAACCTCCTCGCTTCTGTCTTTTGATTTCACTCGGTGAGTGCGATTCAATTATAGGTGTTGCTGGTAAAGTGTTGTCAAACTACAATACCTAAGGCATCTTTAACTCCCTTGATTATGAAAAGGCATTTGAAACAGTGGATAGGAGAATATTATTGACTGAGTAGATGAGAAGGTCGACAACACCATCAGGAATTCATATGATGGACTACACTGAAAATTCGAACGTAGGCAGTTGACAAACGCATTCTAAGTGACGAATGGAGTCAAACGAAACTGAATACTCTCTCTTCTCGTGGTTGACTGGATTATGAAGACCTCCACATCTGAGGAGAAGCACGGAATACAATGGATAGATTGGGTGCAACTAGACAATTTTGACTTCACACATGATCTGACACTTCTATCCCATAAGCATCAACAAATTCAGGTCAAGACAGCCAGTGTAGCAACAACATCTGGGCCTCAGCAATACAAGGGAAAAACCAAGATCCTTCAAAACAACATGGAGAACACCGACCCATTAACACATAATGGAGAAACTCTGGAAGATGTGGAAACTTTCATGTATCTGGGTAGCAGTATAGTCGATGAATAATGAGGATCAGATGCAGACGTAAATTCAAAGCAGTGGCAGCATTCCTACAACTGAAGAACATATGAAACTCAAAATCACTTACAGAGCAAAGTTTGAATTTCGTAGTTTCTATTCACCAGAAATTTGCTTTATAAATTACTTCTCGAAACCACGTTATCACAGTTAATTGTTGATGAAAAGATTTGTCAACGAAGACGTGAATCTGATCCTAAATGACAATAGGATCGATCGGGAATAAAATAAACCGATAGAATTTCACGATACGCAGTTTAGCATTAGAAAGTTATAATTGAACTAACAAGACCATGCAGTTTAACGAAACGTAGCTACAGACAATCGTGAGAATAGTCGACTCACAATAAAGGCATATGTTTTCATATCTTCATTAGATATCACACAGCTATCCATAAAAACATTTTGCATACACTGTAGACAATCATATAACGTCATGTTTAAATGTTTTACACCATTAGCTTTACAGATTCAAACACTAAAACCATCAAAGTTATCTACAGATCTATTCTCACTAACTAGATCAAACATGTCGATTGACGTAATTTAACTAATTCAGTTCAAAAAATATACTACATTATTACAAAAAATGGATTATGGAAAATAAACTCATTTTAATTCTCATTCATTTAGATGGAATAACAGAAATTTCGTAGGTTTCCTAAAGGAAAACACGACCACTTTTCGAAAACCTGGATGAATCCAAGGATTTCTAGAAAAAATAATAGTATTAAGTGCAGTCTATGCAACAGAAATTCCCCAAATCTTCTCAAATGTACTCTAGTAACCATAACTGAACCAACTGAGGAAAATGTAGGACACTGTCAATGCAGTGGAGGTAATGTGATGTAATGTTTTGCAAGCAATTACCGCTTTCAGCGAACAGTACAACTGCACAAACTCGTTAGATATTATCTACACTATAAGCCATGTACTGTGGTTGAGATTAAAGGAGAAAATCATTAGGAAAGCCACATCACTATTATTATGCTTTTATTTGTTATACGAATAGGAACCTCAACTCCCCCGTCGATAAACAAAGAGGGTATGATGAAGATGTAAGGACAATGATTATGTCTAGAAATTGAAAAGGACCTGTCAAAGCAGCTACATTGGGCGAAAACAAAGAAGGTATACATCCGATTTTCTGAACATGTCACAAAAAGCCTTCAAACAACAGAAAGAACCACTTTAAATACCACAATTACTAAACATCTCTTGAACACAGGAACACTCGGTGTTTCATCCATTTGTGGCGATTCGAATTTGGTTGGGTCATCAAAATTTGCATTCATTAGACGGCATTTCGGTCCGTATCAGTGAAACATAGTAATATAAGCAAGCAGGAAATGTGAGTTCTGTTTACTCCAAACACTTTTATATATAAAGCAAATGTGTAAGCTAAAACACATTACAGTATACTTCGATCACCACTCTAAACTCTGATGTCATCATTTTAACTTGTGAAATCCAGTCAAGAATTCAGTGAGGCCTAAGATTAAACATATCCAGATAAGCACCTGGGATTCAAAATGACAATTTAATTCCTGTCTTACATATACACTAGGGTTCACACAAAATTCAGGAGGGATACACTGAACTAATTAAGCGCGGATCAAGCACTACCACATCCTTCGAATAGCATTTCTCACTCAAGTAAAACTGATCTCAAGAGTGACATACCGATTTCATATCAAAAATTGTTACGTATCAACTGATTGGAAAATACAACATTCAACATGATAAATATTTGGATTCTTTCTTCCTTTCGTTCCATAAAACCTGTAACAAAATATTTCATTGGGGTTGTAGTGAGGAGCAGAAAATTAGTAGACCACTTTCGTCAACAGTATCGTCTAAACATTTGAAGATTAACAACTGAATCGAGTGGGACTACGGTATTTATGAATAGTCTATAATGCACATCTAATATACAATCCATACTGAACTATCGTAACCAATGGTTGGAGAATCAGAGTGACATGTCTCATGATCGGTCATAATGGCGTAGGTGTATAAACTCCCCGTCTTCCTTTAAACTATGAGATTAAAAATTGCTTTATATCTTTCTTTCTACAAACTAATTCTTTCTTCCTGTACTATATCCTGATACGCAACCTTTCTGTTATATATTATCACCATGGAATTAAATACTTCTATGAATTCGGTGTTCATCTTGTTGCGCTAATGATGTATGGCAACCTGGACCGATACATATATGTGCCTGATCCTACGTTGTAGCTGACTGACTGCTCGATCCTTGATAGATGATACCATTTGCCATTCTATGGTAGAGATCCTCACATTTATTCACAAATGTAAACCGCGCACCAGTAGATGCCTTCGCAAAAGCTAAAGAAGAACTTGTCTCGAACGACTATGATCACCACTACTGTAAGATAACAGGCCCGAAATCGACTTGGTTCCTTTGATTGCTCGTAAACCAGAAGGCTGTAATTAGTCCAGATAAAGTATATTTATTGGCGATCTCGTGGTATCGAAAGAATACCGAGAAGTGCCAAAGATTACAGGCAAGAAAAGCAGAGCGTAAGAATGTTCGAACGAACAAGATGGACAGCGGAACGAGAAGTCATTTTGAAACAGTTAAACAACAACGAGTACGATAAAACAATCACTGGTACAATTGGTTATTATAATAATCGTTTCCATTATACCAATCGCGTTCTCGTCGAGAAAAGCAGGTCACTACAAACTATTTTCACAGTCACTCTATGCTGTTCTTCCGGTCTATCTATCAAAAACAGATTTCCATTCCGACAGAAGAGATTTCATCGACAGTAGTTCATAGCGTATGGAACGAAAACTGTGTACAGTCGAAAGTGACTTATATAAATTACTGTAGAATGTTAGTCATTCAAGCAAAATGAACAAAAAGAATCCAGAAAATGTTTTATTGTTTCACATAAGCAAGACATGAAAATTTATGAGCTCAGTGGCATTTACATGTCATTAATTTAACACAGCACTTAGTAATAACAAATATTTTCAAATTCTACTTCTGACCAAATGATTCCCACTCGTCAATAAGCGCTTCCGAAGTTTTCCACACATGATTGCAAATTTCGTCATTTAATGCTTGAGAATTACACCTACGTGGTCGACACTCAGAATAAAATGCACCAGAAATCAGATTTTTATCAAGGGCACAAAATACTGTGGTCTGAGCACCTTCACGAGATGTTTTTGTCAACCATCGAAATAAATAGTAGACTAAAAACTAAAATTAAAACAAATCTTAGTCAAACAGTAAAAGCTGACTAGTTTACAAATGCTCATCAATACAGTATAACTCCGCTCAAACAAATGCGTTTCATCAAATATTAATCAGTAAAATCGACGTAAACGACTTCACTGTAACAGTTCCGAAATACCGTCCTACATTCTACGATAATCTGGTAGATGCATGCACACGAGTACGCAGAAACAAATCAACCACGTATATGCATTTCAACAACTCCACTTACGTCACTATTTATTCAAATACATAAATATTGTTACAAATGACCACCAAAGTAGATGTGCGTTACACAAATAAGATTGCGAAGTAAAAAAACGAAAGGAAGTATGACCAATCAAATAAATAGGAGTGAAGAAGAAGAAATCATGATAGGAGAGACGGATCAATTTAACAAACTACAATTAGAACGAATTATTTCAGGTGACAAGGTTCCTCTCACGTTCTGAAGTGTAAAAGAAAATTATAGCAAGATCTCCGCTGACGTCTCTTTTAACTCATATATGATGACCTCTTAACACAAAGACGGCCTAGATTGACGTAAACCACTTCGAGTTCTAATATTCGTAGATTGATCTCATCAGACACATTACCACCAACACCCAAACACCGACCATGAACTTTTCAAACACTTCTAAGAGTTCACTACAAACAGCAAGTGTGGGAACAGGCTTCTGTCAGTCTTTCAAAAGTACTTCGGATCTAAAAGGCCCACGCACATGTCGTACCTAAGAACATTGGTCGTCAGCTGATTAAGTGCGATTTTTATAGTTGGGGTATCATCGCACCACCATAACATTTCTTCTACAACTTATGATAATTTTGATGAGACCTATAGGGCTTTGTCTCAAACATAAGAAATGACAGACTTCACATGAAATAAAATGGCTTTTCGTATCATTTAGGAATACTACTATTTTCTAGCAATGCACACAACAAACGGAGAATTTGATGGAACTGATTCCTTAGGTTGTAATTGCACGAGCATTCTGGATTCACAGGGAGGTTAATAACTTGAACTCAATCAAAGTGTCTATACCACAAATTTTGAGAATTCCTGAAAACACTCACAATCATAAAGAAGTAATAATTCCTTTCCCATTCGACGGTTTTTAGAAAACATCGGTCGAAATAATTCAGATACAACTCTTCAATCTGTATAAATATCACTTACAAACTCATTACTTAATCCTTCTCTAGTGGTGATCATTTCGCCATACTTCCCTTCTTGGGTAACTATATTTATTTACTATTACTATGATAACTGCACAGACAGAGTTGAAGTCAACGTCATCATCAACGGTTCGGTAATAGTCTTCGTCAGATTTCGTAAAATCAGAGTGCACCTTGTAGCAACGATCAGTTAACTGCACCTTAAAAGAGCGTTTGTGTTAAGATTGTTTCCGTAAAATATGGAATACTTGTGTAATACACATTTGGGTCAACATAACCAAAAAGACAGACATCAGGTAAACATACACGGTATGCACAAACTAAAAGTTCGCTTTATAACCAGAGGAAAAACACTGGATTTAACAAATACTACAAACACCAACTCACATATTTCCATTTGCATGAACGAAAAATGGATGTTCTCACTAAGCCTGGATGAACGCTGACTGAAATAATTCCATCCTCAGACCAGCGTTTGCAAATCTCACGTGCATGAATTACATTTATCAGCTTGCTAATAGCATAACCAGAGCCTACACCTGACAAGAACCCGCTATTCGGGTGTAATTTAGCAAACCAATGTGACAAAGATGAGAGAATAATTACACGACAAAGTTCTCCATCAGAGGCTTTCAAACACGGCTTTAATAATTTAGTAAGCAGAAAATGACCCAGATGATTCACTTTCAAATGTTTCTCAGTCCCAAGCTCATCGTAAATCTTCTCCGGAAAATCTGCCCCAGCATTATTAATTAAGATGGGAATTGACTTTTCTCTATTAATGATACGATTCGCAAACTCTCGAATAGATTTTGGTGACTCCAGATCCAACTCTTCACAGATAAGCTATTGAAAACGAGATATTAATTACAAAGGTTACTCACATCTCAATCACAATCTTTCAGCAAACAACTTTAAACAACAAATAACATCGACTAAATAAAAACTAGCGAGTCACTGAAGATGGTAGTGGAGCGGTGAAATAGTGGTTTAGGTACTCGCATTCCAGACAATACATAACAGGTCTGGATCTTGCTCCATCTAATTTCATCTGAGCATTATAACCATGGAAAAAACACATCACGTTGGTAAAACAATTAGAAGTAACATACTTGATCTGGTTCCAAATGAACACTGAATACTGATGGCTTCTCATTACAGGTCCTAGTCAGAAGCTCCTGTCGAGCCGATTCGCACTTCCTTAGATCTCTGCATGCCATTATAACACGGGCCCCACGATGAGCCAACTCATTGACTGTTTCTAATCCAATACCAGTATTGCATCCCGTAACAATAACTGTTTTACCATCCAAACGATCCTCAAGAGTACACTTGCAATGACCGAAGTATTCTCTCTTGATAATATACAATGCACCAACAGCAACAACAATCCACGTGTACGGACAAAGGAAACATACGGAAACAAAAGAGTACAACTGATCCATCCTCGGATTTGTTCCTAAAACTGAAACATAAATTCAATTATCTATATTCACCTTCAAGTATGTAGCATATGCATAGTTTATACAGCAAGCAGACGGGTTTCAGAAATATTTGGACTGATTGCTCGACTGTCGTGTCTATGTTAAATGGTTCAAAATCCTCCATTAGTCCTTATCGATTTGAGTCCCTTGTCGCCTAGACGAGATATTTATCTGCCAACTTAAGGACCACATCCTCTTCAATAAGATTTGGGACGAAGAACAAGTACCCATAAACTGGAAAAAAGGACTTCTGATCAAGATACCAAAGAAAGGCGATCTCAGAAAGTGCGACAACTACAGGGGCATCACTCTTCTCTCAATACTAGGAAAAGTTTTCAACAGAGTATTGTTAAACAGGATGAAGGATTCCGTGGAAGCCCAACTTTGAGATCAACAAGCTGGATTTCGTAAGGATAAATCGTGCACAGATCAAATCGCAACTCTGCGGATCATTGTGGAACAATCAATCGAATGGAACTCATCACTCTACATCAACTTCATCGATTACGAGAAGGCATTCGATAGCGTGGACAGGACGACACTGTGGAGGCTTCTTCGACACTACGGCGTGCCTGAGAAGATAGTCAGTATCATACGGAACTCCTATGACGGACTAAACTGCCAAATCGTCCACGGAGGACAACTCACCGACTCGTTTGAAGTAAAGACCGGTGTAAGGCAAGGTTGCTTACTCTCTCACAACAGAAACCTATGTTGTCGAGTGTCCAAAAACTGCCATCGAAACCTACTGATAGCCTTCGATCAGCATTTGAAAGGTATGGGAGAAAGAAGTCCTGGTTCAACTAGACATCATAAATTGAGCTAAGAATAGAAATTTGACATGTCCTTCTGATAAAGTGTTGGAAGTGCACATTACAGACAAGTGAGCCCCGATAGGCCGATCAATGTAGAGCCTGATACAAATATGCATGTATATGTCCAGAACTTCAAAAGCACCATATGATTTTAGTGTTGCAATGTTCAGTGTGTTTTAGCAATCTGCAAATGACTAGCCCCTTAACTTCGAAAACTAAAGTCAAATTTTCTGTTTTCGTAGACTATTTCAATGTTTTCCGAAACACAATGTAGATCTGAGGCAAGGCTGAGACCACGTTGTGTACTAAGAGAGCATGTAGAGTAGCCCGAGTCAACGACCTAGCAAGTGCACATAATGCACTTACTTTCAATATGAATTGCAATAAGCAACAATCAGTAATAACACAGGCCTGAGATTAAGACAATCTAAGAGTCGAAACTAGGAGCAGATGGTTTAAGCCGCTACAATCCACCTTACTTAGTTCGACCAGGAATCAGGGTAGAGCCACTAGTTCATACAGAAAACTGCGTAGCTCGAAACCAACTACACAAAGCTATCAGTAACCTACATAGTTATCGAAAATATTAAATTCAAAACATTAAATGCATCTCAAAAGAATTCTCAAACGGTTAGTTTCACATAATTCTCTTAGTAATTGTTGATATACACTGAAAAATTAGTGACATGAAGCGACAGATCACAAATAAAAAGCAAAAGTAGTTAGCAACCCTTTGAGACAATAAAGAAGAAACCTCACTCAGTAGGTGTTAGTCATCACTGTGTTAGGACCATTCCTAAGTATACGCTTATAGGTCGTCTACAAGGAAAGCAAATAGCACACAAAAGCAGTATGTATGCACAATTCATCCAAGAGAATCGAAAAAATCAGGTTCTTTTTTATCAGTCACCCAACCAAAACAGCGTTTCATGTTTGTCGCTTATTTTATGTCACGAACATAGTTGCTGTCAACAACGAGTGTAAAGTGAGTATAAAATGAAGATGCTCAACATTCAAACAAGATTTAATCCGAAATATCCTATTACGAACTGAATGACAATATCGGTTATGGAAAAACAGTGGGATAACCCGCTGAAGTAAGTCCGAATAAAACATGGACCGAAATGCGAGGGTGAACGCAAAACAAAATATGGAAAAAGCCCACGATTTTTATTCAGCTGGTTCCAACTTTGCATGCATTTAATATTTAGTCGTGAAATCCCTAACTAACATCTAGACGCGTTAAAATGATTCCTGCTAGTACGTTAACTAACTTCATGAAAGAATATTAAAGCCTAGGCCTAGGACTATAGTCCTATAGGCGGTAATGTATAGGCTTTTAAGGGTTGGGATCTTTGCTGTAGGATCCTACAACTCGAGTTTTTTGGACAACAAGGTAAGGTCTGAAAGATTCAGGGTTCGAATTTAGAATTTAAAGAGTGTAAGCCCATACACCTTGCAAGCAACCAATAAAGGGGAAATAGAGACAAACTCCGGAAGATGAAGCGGGATAGCACAAGTAAAAGGAACCCAAACAACCAATAAAGGGGAAATAAAGGCGATCAAAGGGGAAATAAAGCGGACGAAATCCTAAACAAAAGGGAAATGTCGCTTTTTCGCCTGCACGTCGGTTATTTAAGGGAAAAGTCGATTTTTCTCCCTTACGTCGTATATTTGGGGGAAAATTGTAGACAATTTTTCGTAACGTATAGCATTTGAATGAACCGCAATAAGAAACAACATTTTGCTGAGTATGTCAAAATAAAGAATTATTACATTAAATTTATGAATTTCATCATTATTACTCATGCAATAAAATACGGACACAGGCTTTCGTATGTGATGCTTTTATACTTACTTACACGATGCAAGTGAGTGACGTGCTCTGTCTTTTTAGTTCCTTCTAACTGTTTATGTTGTTAGTCTAATAACATGAGTTTAAGCCAAGCCAGTGAAAGAGCTCGTAGACGTAGGGCAACCGTGAACTTGTCAAGAGTCCTCGGATGTCATAGATCTACTTATAACAGACGTTGGAATAAATTACGTACTGATTTTCTGAGGAGACATGACTTGCTTTCGTTTAGTAACTTTGCTAATGAAAGCACAACTACAGGTAACTGACTTTAACAACTATATATGTATAAACTATGTCAGTTGACAGAGAAAGTAATTGTCATGAGATTCCTTCAACTGTATTACCTTCCACAAGCTGTACCAATGAAAGGCTTCTGGAAGATAATGGTATGTGTTTGAAGTTCATACGCTAATAAATTTATTATAGAATGTTCTACCATCGATTTGCCCTGTCAAAAGACTTTGAGTCGCAAAGAGATACTAATGCATTTAATGACATCCACCTATCTGAGTATTCGGGATGCAGACAGGGTTCAGAATGAATTTCGCCTTATCGTACCAGACTTGCCGACGAACATTAGAAATATCTTGAGAACGTGCACAAGTGTACAACGTAAGTCCATCAGCAGCGGGGTTTACTACCATCTTGGATTGAAAACTAACCTCCTAAGATATGTTGAACTTTGGTTGTGTACTTGCGATTTTGACAGTCTGCAATTATAAATTAATGTAGATGGACTTTCTATGTCCAGGAGCTCCAGTCAACATTTGTGGCCTGTATTAGGAAGGATCGTTGCCCCCAGACTTAGTGATGTTTTCATGATATTGATCTACGGAGGGAATACTAAGCCGGCACAATTCAACGAAATTTCTGCCGACACTATTTCTGAAATAAAAGAAATGACTGAAACGGGTCTACCAAGTGTAAGGTTCAATAAATACATAGCTATTAAGTTAAGTGCAGTAATATGTGATGCACCGGCTCGTTCGGATGTTAGGTACTTATGTGGCACTTAAGTGCTAATTTACCTCCTCAAATCCGGTTACACAGAGGAGAAGTAGACGATTAAGAGAAATTTTAAACAGAAGCGACAACAAGAGGGAGGTTTCGCACTATTTCACCATGACAAGTGTAAATTGTGACTTTGGCTCACGTTCGTTTGTAGTTCCCTCCTCCTACTCCACCGAATCTCCCCTTTATTTAACCCTTGTTCGCCTACATTGCTCCATCTTCGGTTACTTAAACTTAGCCTATGGGTTATGAGTTAACTCATAACTCATATCTTTTAGAGCTCTTATATGTAAGTTGCATTCTGACTGGCTATTTTTGAACAAAAGTCATCAAGGTCGTCCCGGAAATATTTTAAGGTCGTCAGTTTACTATTGATTAACTCTTCTTGTCATCTGAGACTAGTGTGAGTTTCAAGATGTTGAGAAACCTCACTTTCATGGACTCGGCAACTGACCAGAAGGTGAAGAACTCACTCGTGTTTACAGAAGCTGATTACCTGCCGTTTCAGGTGCGGTAGGGATGAAGGTTAGGTGGCTTCAAATTAGTCCTGCCTACATATGTTTCTCAATTGACCTAATTTGATTCTATACGTGTCGGCAGATAGAACCACAACCACGTGTTCATTTAAGGAGTTCCATTCGCTGATGATTCTATGGGAAAGACGAAAGCCAACCGATAAGTAATTCGTTCTGTACTTGTGAAATATTATGAAGTGTCCTGGTACATTCCCCGTAAATTCGAAAGACCAGAAAAGTAAACGTATGTCAGGTGAAAGGTTTTCAGCAATCCAAAAACTGTGACCTCTAAGACTTCAATTCATCAGGGGATATTAATTCGTTTTAGCTAGGTTCTCGTCACACAGCAGCTTCACGATTCAGGTAATCAACTTTGTTTGGGTTGCTGATTGTGCAATACTCAAGTTCATGACAATCAAGCTGTGTACATATAGTCGAAAACATCTCGTCTAAGTGACTAAAGGCTTCGCATATAGAACATCAGGCTTAAAAACCTTCAAAAGATATCACACAGCACGGTTCAGTGTTTCTAAAGTCTTGGTAAAACGTGACTCCTAGATCATGGAGTGTCGGGACAGCATATAGCTCAACGTCACTCACCACGTGTTTAACTGTTCTTCTGTGACCAATATACATCATGACGCATCTGCAATCGTTTATTGAAAACTGCCAGATTCTAGACCATTCAGATTATTTCTGTAGGTCGTTTTGAAGCTCTACCACTGGTAGTGGAAACAGACATACACCTCTTGGTCTTTCGTGCTTCCATCGATATTTTTCGGTTAACTTATCGAACTTACATGCAGCACTCCTGTTTATCATCCTGCAGAGACTTCATCGTGCCTGTCACTCTCCATCTGTATTCTATGACGCTTACTGATTGTAACAGCAATCATCAGTATTTCAAACTTTGACGAAAAATTGGTTAATAACTTTGTGCGACGAAGTCAAAAATTTATTTCACGGTCACACTTCAGTAGTTTTATTTAATCGGTAGAGTTTGTCTGTATACCTAGCTCGTCTCAGTTTGTGCCAGTTTTGTAGTAACTAACATTCGGAGATTTGAGTATCACATTCAGTAGCCTGATCTCATTTCCATCAGGGGTGTCTGATGACTTAATTCATACACTTTTTACAGGGGACATTAGAAACATCTTGCAGCTTCAGTTGCTTAAGTAGACCTCTTATTACTAAATCTCGTTCCACAAACGGGTTATGAGCTCACAGCTCTCTCTCCTTAACTGTACATAAAACTCTACGGAATATCATCGCGATTGGCCTTCGCTTTCTCAGCTACAGTTGAGGAACCACATTTCTCTTTTTTGACATAACGTCGTCCCTTACTCCTTCTTGTGCTCACTTGTCAGTTTCACTACGATTGGAAGCACAGTTGTGTTACATCCAGCTTTCGACACTGAGAAATTCTCGAAAAATTGGTGGTCATGTCATTCCGTCTGTTATTTTTCCTGCTAGAGGCAGACCTGCACCTGTAATCGGGTTCTCTAGACATTTTGTCACCCATCTCTTCAGTCTCTGATAACGAGCTTGTCAAATCTGACACAACCACACATGTCTCACTCTACCATACCTTAAAATTTGCAGCTGTTGTATTGTTGCGGATGTTCAAGGCATCGGACAGAAAAGGTGTCATGCTCAATTGGAGTGTAGATGCAAGAAGATCACTTTGTATGAACGATTAAGTGCAAAAGATAATCAATATGTATGATGTGTATATAAATAGGGAAGATAAAACGAGTCTGATAAATTGAATTCAGCATAACGAAAGTTATTGTTTTAATCCAAAGCTTCGTAATCTTATCCCTCGTCTCCTTCATTTCTATTTCCTTAGTTTCTTCCTTTCCTTCTTCAAAATTCTCGCCAATTACGCAGAACCTGATTTATTACTACTATTATTATTACTATTCTATTATTAATATTTTATTTTCCTTTTCCTTCCTTTCTCAAACATGGCATATGTAATGCTAACATTATTGAAAATTGTGTACTTTTTGCATTTTTGAAGAAACTCGAAATGGTTTCTTCACAGCACTTATGTACCCATAAGATGTTTGTAAATAATAATAATAGGGTCCATTACAAAATACTAGAAAAATGACACAGTAAGTCCGATCTTCAAAACAGGTGCGAGACATGAATCTGAGAACCATCAACCCGTAGGCATAACCAGAGTGGTTTTTAAAATTTTGAAAAAGTAATTCTCGGTGGGATTTTTTTAGATATCTCGACGAAAATAGGTCTCTCTCCGAAAAGTAGCATGTCTTTAGAATAGGTCATTTATGTGTCACTAACATATTAGTGGCTTGTAAACGTTGGTGCACACTTGACGACCAAGAGTTACCCATATATGAGGCCTAAATTTACGTTGGCAGAGTTATTTACAAACGGCCGTTATATAAATCAGGTGATTTCGGGATTAGAGGCAATTAATTATTGTGGTTAGAGGATTTACTAGTTGAGCGTCAACAGAGTACATGTGCACTCGAAGTTGTCTAGCTGTGAAGCTGTACTTAACGGAGTTGCTCATGGTATAGTTTTGTGGCTAATATTGTTTCTTCTGTGTGTAAATGAACTTTTTAGTCTCCTATCATCATCAGTTTTGTCATATGTTGACGATGTCAAGGTATTGGGAGTGACAAAATGAAAATGTGATAGTTTAGAACCTCAAAGTAACCTGGAAAAATTACCTGAGTGATCTAAAATTCGGTAGTTGCTAATAAATGCTCTCACATGCATTGTGATACATATTGTTCATCAACGTGCAGATACTTGCACAGTAAATGACACTGATCTTCCTGTTGTCCAGACATATATTGACCTAGATATAAGTTCGAAACTTCTAAAAGCCCCCAACTTCACATGTATCTATTCTCGACCATCAGTTGTATGTTGCAACGCTACCTCCATAAAGTGCGCCAAGTGTGATATTGATATTGACATGTTTCTTATGAAATCCATTTACATTCATATCAGAACATTTTGTTTGTATCAGGCTCTTTATGGATGAGAACAAGTCAATAGATCTGTGATATTGAGATTGTTCACCTACACTCACCATTAAGACTCATGTTTCCAATTTTTGTGCTGGATTAACTATTCTACTAAGACAACCTTTAACATGCTAACTCGGACTTTTACATGAACACTGTGTGGCAGGCATCGGATGATGAAAAAACAGACTGTAAAGGATATGGTTTCTATTTTACTTAACACTACTCTTTATATGCACTCTCTGTTCTTCCTCATTCCAATGACTTCCCTCCTTCATTGGAACCTACTCCACCTTGATAAATATAACAACTCATTGTTCTTTATTACTGCCTTCTCTCTTCTGGAGACCCTAATCGCAGTTTACTCTTGCAACATGAGCTAGTATCAATTTAATCTAATAATTTATCATACCTCCAACTGTTCCACTAATAAATGTTAAGCATTGATTATCGCTCATATCCAAATGCCTTGCTGCTCCTCGGTTTCTCTTTTATTTTTTCTCTTCAGAATCTTGCTTTGAGGGTGAAGCTATGTAACTTCTGACATCTGGAAAAAGCTTGACGAACGCGCTTTCCCAAGGTCATAGCTCAAACCAGGCGCTCCACAAGCCTACTTTATAACAACAATAAACTTAAAAAGCTGAATTACATAAATACTTAGAACTACCGAAACCCTATTACACTTTTTGTCGAGATTGGATCTGGTATATAACGTGGACGCTATGCCCCTTTGGAAACTATTCTTATGAAAACACATTATATCTGAACGAATGAACTGCTATCAACTTTTATAGATTATAATTACTAAACAAGCTTGCTTGGGATGCATACTGTGAACCAGTATATGTTGTAAATTGTAGATCATGCCTGTAAAAATGGCGTGTACCTGCTAATGCAGAAATATATTATTATTATTATTATTATTATTATTATTATTATTATTATGAAATATCAACCCAGCTGAGTAATTTTCAACAGTGAAAATTGTAGCTTTTTTAACAATTTGATCTTGCCTGTAAACCGGCATGCCTCATGTAACAATCTGTTACTTGAGAATAAATTATTATTAATTAATTATTATTAGAAGTCAGCGTTAGCGAAGACTTAAAATTTACTGCATACTGCTGTGCGATAGCCACGTGAAGTTTTAGCACCGCATGGTCGATACGTTTGGCCTTTAGCCGTGTCGATGCTAAAACCTTTTTGATTATGTATACAATGTTCGTTCATCTTAAACTCCAGTGCTGCATGAAAGCAACTAGCTCCTGACTAAAAGGAAACAGGAAGCTGTTCGAATGAGCTAAAAGAACTGGAAATATGATGGTTCTCGGAAGAGCAAGCTCCAGTATGATATTCAACTAGCTAAAATAAACCTATTTCCATTATTATATAGAAGAACCAGAGGCGGCTTGATAACAGTTCTTAAATTACTTGGCGATAAATTTGCATGTGATTTATCTACAATTGTCCTGTTCTACAAAACAGAAAACTTAAAAGAACACCCAAAAAAGTTCTCAAGCACAGAACAACTTACTTGTCAGCTGACTATCGACATTCCCATGGGATCATCAACGAATGGGGTTCATTAATTCAACACGCAATCGCAGCTGTGTCATAAGACGCTTTCAAAAGAAAGTTGGATCATCCGAGAGACCACTACTATCGGAGGTAACATTGACCACTTAACCCCCTGTCCTTTCCAAACTGAAATTGATGCGGAAGAGGAAAATTCAGTGGAAAACTCAGGAAGCACACAGAGTGCGCTAACGTTTAAAAACAAAACAATTGGCAAGAGTTAGCAATATCACGAGCATAAGATAAAGACGATGTGAGTAGGGACAAATTAGCAGTGTAAGATATCGAAAGCTGGTTTGCATTCTTCGTACAACCACAAAACAGATGTCTTCAAACTCTTATAAAAACAACCAAGTGACATGAAGAACTGTATTTTCTTGATTCTTTTTTCCACAAGTACATAGCTCCTCAATGTTTCATAAATGTCCCCTGGAAAACTATGGCTGCACTAATTTCATTAAAGATTATATCAAGTTCTGGAAATGAACGTTGTAATACTCAAAACAATCGCGCCGAGTACCATAGACTTTAACCGCATAAATAATTTCTGGACAAGTTGGTGAACCGTTAAATCAAATAATACTACTACTAATAATAATAATAATTTATTCTCAAATAACAGATTGTTACATGAGGCATACCGGTTTACAGGCAAGTTCAAATTGTTAAAGAAGTTACAATTATCACTGTAGAAAATTACTCAGCTGGGTTGATATTTTATAAGATATGAATGTAATGAAGGTAATCTTAAATTTGGGATGACTTCAAGATTGTAATGAATACTCAGTAGGGGATTTATGGAGATTTCAGTATATTTCAAAGTTGAAATCATGAGTCAATTGAAGCTAGACCACCATCGAAAACCTGGAAGCACTGGAAGGCCGTTTCGTCCTATTATGGGACTCCTCAGCAGTGCGCACCCACGATCCCGCACTTGCGAGATTCGAACCCAGGACCTACCAGTTACGAGTCAGAGCCCTTAACCGATAGACCACTGAGCCGGCATCCAACGGTGTTATTGTCTAACTTCAACTGATCCACGAATTATGAGCGACACATCACCAATTGCCTTCAGTGAGTCGTTATCTCACAACAGACGTGGTTGAACTCCACTGGTCACTGCTTCCCACTAGAACTCCAGGACATGTATTGAAATATACTGAAATCTCCACAAATCCCCTTCTGGTTATAATCATATGCTCACTAGTGAATGACTTCAAGATACCACAACCTACTCATGGACACACGCTCACGAAGGTTAATAGACGGTAACACTAAGTTATTTGTTTGCGTAACTCCCTTTAGTGGTTGCAGATTATCCCCAGTCACAAGTAAGCATGCCATACACACCCTATATCAATCATTACTCGATAAATACTCCGGGATATATCAACCGCAACCGAAATTGCCTTGTGTAACCGGCAATGTTACACATCACATCTCAAATGCAGGACCAACTGTATTCTCGAAAGCACGACGACGTCTCCCGAAAAGCTTAGGTTGGCTAAAAACGAATTCGACCACATGATAGACTTAGGAATCATTCAACCATCAAATAGTCCATGGTCATTCCCATTGCACATGGTCCCTAAAAAAGACAGCAATGATTGGCGGCCAACTGGTGATTATCAGCGTCTGAATGCTAAAACCATTCCCGATCGTTACCCGTTGAAAGGTACAACTGTCTTTTCGAAAATCTACTTAGTTTAGGCTTACAACCAAATACCTATGGCAAACGACGACATCCGTAAAACCGCCATCATCACTCCTTTCGGCCTCTACGAATTCTTACGAATGCTTTTCGGCCTAAGAAATGCGGTTCAAACCTTCCAAAGATTTATAGATGACGTCTTCCGAGGTCTCAACTTCGTAAATGCGTATGTTGATGACTGTCTAGAAGCAAGTCCGGACAGAGAATCACATCTCCAGTATATGGACATTGTTTTCGATCGAATCCAAAGGCATGACATTACTGTCAACATTCAGAAATGCCAAATCGGAACAAACTCTTTAGACTTCTTAGGACACACTATTGATGCCCAGGGCATCCGACCCCTAGGAGGAAGCA